AATGCATTTTTGTGCTGCTCTATGATGTCCATATTCTTGTCTTTGTGTGTTTGAGAAGCTTGATAGTGCCTTCTTAGATTATATTCTTTCATTACAGCCAAACTATCTCCACACAGAAGACTTACAGGCAGTGATGGCATAGTTACTTTGAAAAAGTAACTTTAATCATATTACTGATTACTCTGGCTCTGACCCCACAATATTACTTTTAAGAGTTACATTAAAAGTAACTATTTTAGTTACTTTCAGCAGCTGCTAACGATAGTGGTCCACCACCTGTGAAAATCATATTGATCTTTGTCAATACTTAATTGCAAGTTATTTTATAAGAATTACGTCAACAATGTGTCTCCACTTATATGGTTGAACTGAAGGGGAGATTGTTTAATGGCTACAACAGTAGAAAAAAAAACTTTTGTAATTTGCGTGTGGTTTTGTGTGTTTCTGTTGTCTGAAAAACAATAAATAGGATTTTAGACCCCTCTGATAGCTGATGAACAATGAAGCCGCTTGTGCGTACTGCAGTGACTTCGCGGGGAACCGTTGCATTGTGGGGAATGTAGTGCTAAGGCCAGCGGGCCGGTTCTAATAGTAATTAAATATCATCTAGGGGACCATAAACAATTAATTCCGGCCCGCAGTCCTTGACTTTGACATATGTGGAGTACCTGCTCATATATATATATGACGTCCTTTGATTAAACTAATTTATCTTCGGTGTAATTCCAATACCGAAAAATTCACTTTATACCAGGCGAGTCTCTCTCACCTGAGAATGTGCCTTCAAATAATTTTAACAATGTTCCTGTAGAAGATTCATTATTTATAACTTATAAGTCTGAAATATTCTTCCATCCATTATCTAACACACTTATTCTTGCACACACACATTTACACCTTAGGACAATTTAGAGAGACCAATCAATCAATTAATCAATGCCGAGTTTTAGCAAAACCTGGGTTTGGATAGTAACCTGTGCTCAGTGTTCTCATGGTTTAATCATGACTTCCAGTGACATGTCTCCCACTGCCCTGTTCCCAGGTCTCCTTGTGTATTTTGGCTACGGTATCTGGCACAGCAAAGAGGGATTGAGGGAGCTGCAGCCCAAAGACATGGCCGCCCGCTATGTGGTGCTACCCAGCGGCAGCCTGGTGGAAACGGTGCAGTCCGTTCAGCCCGACGGTCAAGTGGTCACCTCTGCGCACCAAATCAGCTCTTCTGCTGCCCCGACAGCCGCCGAGGCTGCTGGGAAGAGATAATGTGTGACCATTCTGAGTCATCATCTCTACTGCCTGGTTTTTGTCTGTTGTCTCCCACGCATACTGTATTATTAGTGTACTTTCTGTGTCTCTCTCCCGGCTCAACAGCCTGTACTCATTACTCTGCTAAAGTATCTACAAGATAGGATGGGAGGCATTGTCTTTTGGTTGAGCACATTTATATATGTTATAAGAATCAAAAGTGCACTAGAGATATTTATCACTGCCCTAGGAACATGACATGCTTTTTTCTTTCTTGCAGTCTCGCCAGCTTTGTCCAGATCCATGTTCATACTGTGTTTGCGTTATTACTAAAGACTTTTAATTTTCACTTTTCTGCTTTTAAGAGTGGAGCTGGGAATTTTGGTATATTTCAAAGGAACAAAAACGTTCAGGAGAAATGTATGATTTGTGCTTGTAAACTGTAGCCCTGTTTTGGAAGAGTACAGTTTCATATCTGATTTTTTTGCTATCCAGCCTAGTTTATGTATAACTACGAGAAACGCTCATGAAATAAGGTACTGCATACTGTAGATGAAAAGAATAATGACAATTCATTGGTAGCTTTTTACCATTTTAAAAAAATCTTTTTTCCCGTTATTTTGGCAAAGAACTGCATATTTTAACTTTTCTTTCCCCTTGCAATTTCCATACATGCTGCATAAATATGTTTAAATATTTATAATTTAAATAATGTACGCCCTCTTAAGACTCTTGTAGGCACAAAGGAGTTTCTCATTATTTTTCTCCTAGTCTATAAAATATAATGTATACTTATTTTTCTATAAACACCATTCTGATTTTTAACTGTTTCATTATTACCTGTTTGTATCTTTGTTCATCGCTACTCCTGCATTGTATTATTTACTTACATTTGTGGCTTTATTAATCTCTATAAGATATTTACTTTTAAATGGCCTGGACTCGTCCATTTCTTCCTTAATTTTCTAAATCTCATCCCATGACCTTCTCTTGTGTCCCTGATCCCCAGCATGTGATCAGCCTCTCTCCCATGCCTCTCCTCACCGCAGCCTTGACTTCTTCTTGTTTTTATCCCATTGCCACAGCATGGTTTGTCAAAGTCCATAAAACTGAGATCATGTCTCCATATTCTATATACGCGAGTTCATGGACGCACACAGTTATTCACAGGGATCTCTTACGCATAACTATTAGTAGGCAGGCATTATGTCCCCGTCCCGTCTCTCCGAGGCCTCCGTAATCCGTCAGATTTGCAGTAGTCCCTGTCGCCGGTCTGCCTCCTGACCCAGATAAGAAAAAGCCGTAGATGTGAGAATGCTCCCATGACACGGCGGCAACATTCACTTTATTTTTGCGCTTGTGGTCATTAATTTGACATCACATCACATTCGTAGAAGCACCAAGAAAGATGTCAGCTCTACTGTTACTGATTTCTCTTTGCTTTTGCATGTTACAATAGAAACCAATGGCCTTAAAACATGTTACACATCTTATCTCCAAAGCTGATTTACTTATTTATTTGCCTGACGGATGAAGAACGTTATCTAATCATCATCATTCAACTAAAGAATCCAAATATAGATTGTAGAAAGCATTTTGGTGTAAGATTAGGAGGAATTTTATACAACTTTGCACAGATTTGTCCAGTAGTTTTGTTTCATAGCTAATGCTTTTGGTGTTGGGGTCAGTGACAATATATTTATACTGTGGTGCTTTTTTTAAGCTGAACATTATCACGACTCTTTCTCTCCTTTTGTGCCCTGATGCACAAATATCAGCGACTAGACTTTTCTTACACCTAAATGTCATTGTACTTTGCATAAGCACATGCAAATCACAGATTCCTGTCATAATGTTTGTTTGTGTAAAATGCAAAAAGGACAAAAAAATAAATAAATGTTTTGAAGCAGCATTAAAAACCATTGGTGCATTATTAATAGATGAGAATGAGAATTTACATCACATCAATCAATCACATAATTTACATAGTAAGAGTTGCTATGTGTTCCTGGTTTGTTTCAAGACATTAACAAGAAATAAGAGCAAGACACCAGTGAACATATTTATTTAGATAATAATAATAATAATGAGGAGGAGGAAGTAAGGAACCTGTTAGAGTTATGTATAACCATTTTGTACCCCCCTGTCAATACTTCATAGAGGTAGATTTTGGGTACAAATAAAGCAGCAAGTCCTCATAGGTATGTCTCTATCAGTTTTACATTATTTTTTTATGATTAATTTCTGATTTTTAGCACAGATTAAACCCTTTAGATGCTTCATTTTATATGCTTTCTGTTTATATTTATTTTCTGTAACTCCAGTTTTTTTGTGTGTTATTTATTTTTTATCCACATACTTATTTAAATAATTGCTGGGTCTTTGTGTGATTTGTTTTACTTTTGGTTTTTGTTTTGTCATTTATTTGGTTTGTGTTGCTGGTGTTCATTTGCCAACTTTGATTTGATTTGATTTGAAACATCTAGTTTCAAGTCCAGCCACAGAATGTAAATTACATCTGGGTCTGGGCCAATCTAAAACAGGAAGACGTTTTGAAAGTGCGTGGCTTTGATGCTAACATCTCTATGTTTCGCTCTCGGGATTGAGTTCAGAATAATGTGGCTGAAGGCCAAAAATGTCAATTTTTCTCCCATTTGACTAGAGGTTTTGTGCAAAGCTGCAAAAGTGGATTCATATGAATTTCTTTTAACTTTCACTTTCTTCTTACCACTCTTCAAGAGATTTATGGAGTGCAATGACTGCATTTTTCCATGAGCAGATCCTCCAACCTGAGCTAGGAATCTCTGCAGCTCCTCCATGGTCCCACATGGTGAAGTCATAGAACATCTTTGACCTAAAACAGTTCATTTTATGTCAACGTCAGTCCCAGCTCCATTCATAAGCCTCTAAATAGTTCTATGTTTACACTTTACTCACCAGATACATCAAGATATAGTGTGAAAGTTCAAAGTTTGAAAATCCTCAGTTTATCCAAAGAGGCAATATCTTTTTGCATCACCATTTGCTATGCGTGAAGTTGACATTTCCCCAGTAAGAAAGTAATCAGAGGAGCAATGAAAGGAGACCAGAACGCAGGACACAAACGCTGAGGTATCATGGAAACACGCCACCATGGAAACTAACACTGGCTACTCTTTACCGACAGCAAACACAGTGACACAGACACCTGCGTCTTATGTCTTTGTGTGACACTCAAGGTTGAGTGAGTTGCTGTGTACTCAGCACCATGTGATTCATCCGCTCTGCAGGCCGTTCTTTCACACACGTCCAGGTTTGCTTGAGAAATCAATCAGATGACCTGAAAGCGAAAACGTGCCGTTCATGACTGTCCCCCATTTAGTAGCATTACAACAATGTATTATGAACGGATTATCTGCTTGAATGCATTCACGCTTTTGGGGTTTGTTAGTTTTTTTTTTTGTTTCTGTGTCTTGAAATAAGAAAACAGAATTGATTTATATTAGTGTCTGACATCTCAGAGCTCAGCCACAAGCGATTTAACAACGCGAGCTCGAACCACCACTCACAGCTATTTTTTTAAATACCACATATTGTATGGAATGTTGCAGACGAGACCTTTTTGAGATGTCATAAAAACAACACAAAGCATCAGTAAGTACGTTCTTTATTTGAATAAAAACTTCACAGCAATACACCACTCATGTCGATAATGTCATTTCTTCAGGTAACCTGTGAGAGAAAACATGGGCAGGGTTAAAACCGCATGTTTCAAATATCCTGAAGCACTTTCAACAAGGGATGTCCCAATCCAATCTCAAATGCTGCAATATGGCCTTAGCTCCACCATTTTTAAACATGCATTTTGCTTTAAATGTGAATTCACATTCACATGTCGGTGTTGCTAAGTGAGAGCCCAGTTACAACCTTTAAGGCAGTGCTAAAAACAGACCAAAGCAAACATGTCTTCCTGGAGGCGAAGTATAATAAACAGAAGCAGACATACTGTCAATATTCAAGCGCAGCTCTGTGTTCTTGTCCTTCAGACTCTCCTGCTTCTGGACTAGCTCAGAGATGTCCGTCAGCACAGCGCTAGAAAACACACAGACACATCCCCCCAAAAAATTCTTCATTACAGATACATGTTTTCTACCCGAACGTGCCACTTACTGGTACTGGTTCAGCGTTCTCGACGTGGATTCCCACAGTTTGACTCTCTCCTCTGGGATGATATTGCCAAGGCTCTCCCAATACGCTGCATCCTTGGAAGAATCCCGCGCGTGTGCGAGCCACAGTCTGGAAAGTTCCTGGGCTGAGCTCGTCCTAAAAGAATAGCATGAAGAGGACAGCATTGGATGTAGTTGAAGAAGCAAAACAGAGATTTCATCTGATCTTTTATACACATTTAAATCTTCAAATCTTCAAAAACAAAAAATGGTCCAGCTGGACTTTTTGACTCATCGCAATCTGGTCAAAATGCCTAAACACGGATTGCATCCCTTAATCTTTAAGATATGGATGCTTTTATGACCTTGCTATGTTCAAAAGTTGCTCACTTTGATTCCTGTCAATACACGTCAGATATCCTTTAAATATCATCTCATTTGTAACGTTTGGGAATTCAGGATGCTTCCAAAAAAGTCACTTGTGATCAAGTCTAAACTAGAAATAGTGGTTAATACAACCTTGTCTCTTTGTCCAGTAGGTTGATTACATGTTCGAAACTGAAAATACTGCTTTAGTTTTCTTTTCTTTTCTTTTTTCTCATGAGATTAAAGAGTGCGACATAATAATAGATCCCATTTTTTCCTAGCTGGCTGTGCAATGCGACAATCCATCTCTGACTGACTGATGAGTGATGGCAATGTCTCGTCTCCCAGAGTGCAGCAACCCCACTACTAAAACGTAGGAACACATAATATTAGTCCTGGCTTCTCTCTGTGTAGGCTTTCAGTGTTCTTTAGTAAAAAAAATTAAAGCTTTTATTATTAGCCGTTAAAGTTTTCCATGTGCTCCTTCACACTCCGGTCAGAGGACTGTCGTCAACCAACCAATTTGTCTTAGATTCTCCAATATCTAACCTAAAATATGAAAGCGGATCGAGACCAGAAATACTGAACAGTTTTCTGGGCAGTACAGGATTAGCTGAGCCTGTTCAGATATTTAGCTCAATGCTGAAAACAAATTTTTATTCCTCGCCTTTTAATTCCGGCTGAATCTGAGACAGATTCTTTCATTACGTTTATTAGTTCTTTTAATATCCTTGCATTTATTTAGTTTTGTGTTATTTCACGGATTCTAACCTCTGCTGGCAAGATTTGTAGAATTGCATGCAATTCAGTGCACAACTGTAAAGAGATTAATTGCTTACAAGAAGTCTGATTAAAATAACTTTTAAAAGAAAATGTGACTCGTCAACTTTTTAACAATGTCTGTCATTTGCTGCAGTTAACGATGCATGTCTTTTTCTTACAGAGGGCTCCCTAAAATTGAAAGAGTTACTCCTTTAGTTGGAACTTTGACAGACTGAGACTGATTGATTTCTAATATGTTAAAACAGTTCAGCACAGATTCACGTTGCTGCAGCGCTCTTACCTGAAACTTTGCTGCTCAAGAAAGCTTTTCAGAGCACAAAGAACGTGGTTAGGGTGGATGAGGTCCGACGAAATGCTCGTCACGCTGTCCCTGTGCGATTGCTGGGAGAATTAACAGATAGTTTTCAGCAAGGTCGATGCTGCAGGAAACCCAAAGAGCTCTTCATCTGTCACTCACCCCAGTCTGCTCATTCTGCTGATCCTTGTACCTCAACAGGAAATCCGTCAACTTGGGCAAATCCCTTTCGTCAATACCCAGAGTCTAGAATGGAACCGAGATGGCATGTCTTCCTGATCACGTCTCGTGCCAGGCTGGAATATTTGTGATGAAAGTGATTCGAAGCAGCTGAATGTGTGCTTACGTAAAGGATAGATCCCAGCTTTACTCCAGTCTGTTCCTCGGTCACCAGAGGAGCCAGCAGCTTCAAGATCTTGGCTTCCATCAAGAAGTCCTGCTCGGGAAAAAACAGGAACATTTACGGCTCAACGTGTCTGTGCTTTGACATTTTCTTTGCCATCTTAAAAACCAAATTAGTAACCAACCGTTTCATTACACAGCAGCTCCCTCAATTCTTCCTGCATCTCCTCGGTCAGCTTCTCGTCCTCCCATTCGGGGCTGCTGTCGATGAACTGTAATTCCTCTTCCGTGCTCCCTGTTGTATCCAGATTCTCGACGTAAGATTCAGCCGGACTCTCCGCTGACCGAATCTGTGTCTGGACTATCTCTCTTCTTGTCTTCCAGGGCCGGAAGGGACTGGAGAGCAGCAGTAGGTTCAAATCCGTCTGCTTCTCGGGTGAACCGTAGAGCTGCTGGGAGATCACCGAGTCTATCGCCAAAGCCCTCTGTGCTAAGTGCTTTACCTCTTCTTCAATCATCAGCCACACCTCCTCAAAACGTCTTGCATCAGCAACAGCAAAATGCCTGCAAATAGAAACAAATTCAGTCAATAAAACAACAAATAAACAGGTCTCGAGAGGCAGAGCAGCACAGAAAATCTGACTCACTTCACTTGGTTTTTAATGCGTTCATGCTTCTCGGTGTAGTGTGAGTAATCTGTCAAAGCAATACTCTGCTTTATAAATTTTTTCTGGTGGTCGATGTAGATATTCTTCAGCTTTTCTATCTCTCTCGCCTCCCTGGAAACACAAAGCAGTCGATGTATAACAGCATGTGCAACCTAGGTTTCAGCATGGAAGAGGAGCCGTGCTACCTGGTGATCCTGCCTTTGATATTTTTCAATGTGGTGAGAAGTATTTCTTGCTTTTCCATGTACATGTGTTTTTTCATCTTCAGGGGTAAGTTGCTGTTTGCGTTTTTTTTCTGTTCTCTCTCTTGGGCCTGCAAAGCAAAGAAGACGGCCGCTTAAGCCGCGAGTCAAGTCGTATAAACCTTTTCACCACTGACAGGTAAGCGACATAACAATGACAATTTCACAGTGGTCCTTTTCACACACTTTTTACGGCTCTCATAAAGGCTTTTGGAAAGTCCTCTTCCACGACGTACTATGAAATAACTCTCTGGTACCGTGACATCCAGGATCATGCCACCGGCTCATTGTAATTCCAAGGTGAAGTAACAACGAAATGAAAGAGTTTCTTGTTAGCTTAACCATGGTTGTTTTTCTATTTTCAGAACTCGCTGGACCTCACAGGCGGTTCTTGCACCTTTACGTTCATTCCTGTTTCCTGCTTCAAACTTAACTTTCAGAGTAAAGTCAGGTAAAAGCAATTCCTGTGATCTGCGAAAACTTCTGATTTGAATTTCATAGAACCTCAAAAAAGCTAGACTTTAATAATCTTAAAGGAGTATTAATCATTGTCCACACAGTCTGTTTTTATTTTTATGCTGTTTTTCACCTTAAGTCTGTTGTTTGCTATTAAATTATTTCCTGACACTACTAGAGATAAGCTCCTACAGCCATTCAGTTGCAAAGGAAATGTCAATATTGTGATTTCCTTCAGCACGTATGCATTGATAATTGACAGGTCTCATTATTGCTCCTCTGTTTCAGTTCAATGAAAATTCAAAAATATATTATCCCAAAGGGAAAATAAAGGTTGTAACTCATATTATCCAAGAATCTTCAGAGAGTTGTTGTGGACATAGTGATGCTGTGAACAGGTAGGATCTCCTGTAGCAGTCAATACGAGTAACAGCCCAAACATCCAATGTCTCAACCCAAACAAATTATGAACACAAGTCAACAAAAGGAACAAATCAGAACTAATATATCAGAGCTACTTCAACATGTTGCCACCACAAATAGGGAAGTTCTGGAATGAGTGGAAAATACTGCAAGTGGTGTAATAAGATGGCTCCATGATTATGGAAGTAAATGTATACCTCCAGATTGATTTTTGATACATTTTGAAATGATAACAACTGCAACAAGCAAGACTCTTTTACACTCTTCTGCCTTCCTACATACCAGAATTCTTGCGCATCTCTCATAATCCAAGGCATTGAAGACGTGATTGCTCTCTTGACCGATCTCGTGAACTTCTCTCTTGTATTCCTCCAATTTCTTTTTCCTCTCACTTAGCCTCTCGAGCTGGAATCAAAGTCATTCAGTGGTTCATTTAATGAAGGAAAATGAACAATATTGGACTTTTGTGTATGTGTGTGCTTCATCTCAAAGTGCAGTCATCCTGACCTCTTCATCCCAAAGTCTCTTCAGGTCTCGCTCCAGTTCTTCCTTGTCTTTTGTAAGCAGGATGCTTATTTCCTGCCTATGACGACTCTGCACAAACAAACACCCCCACGATCATTGGTGATAATTTACATTCTGGGGAGTTTACATAGACATTCTTCATGGGAATGAATACATTTTTTTCTATGATTAAAAAACAAAACCTCTGTGCATAAATTTGAATGTATTTTGAATTTTAAACACATGGATGGTTTAACACAGAAAACTCCTCTTTATTATTGTCCTTAGACACAATGCACCTCAATGATGCTCTCTTTTCCAGCCACTAACGAGGTTTTGGAATAATTCTGGTGGCATTTGACCAGTCTTACTGGCAAAAATGTTTGAGTTAGTTTAAACTGCTTCCATGACATACATCCCGCTTCAAAGCCAAGTCAAAACATTTTATACGGGCATCAATAAGGGCATTACGAAGGACCTTCAACAAGTTTGACAGTTAACATCAAGCTTCAGAAATTACCTTCTCAAAGTGAACTTTTGCTTAGGAGCAGATCAAGGCTATGTAAATAAAGAGTAGTGAAATACCCTGCTGAAATGATCCCAGAAATTTGCTAAAAAAAAAAAAAAAAAACAAAAAAAACAAAACAAAACAAAAAAACAAGCCATCAATGATATTACATTCATGCTCAAACAAGAGCGTATGTAAATATTTTGGTGGAATTGTAGAAAAAAAACTCGAGCAAACATAAAATAAACATAAATGGTCATTTTGTTTCTTGGTTAGCTCAATCCATCAGATGCCCGTGGCAGATTCAGGAGCTTTCACCAAACCATTCGAAGCTGCTTCTCTCAGAACTGGGTCCCACCTCAATTTGGGAGAGCTCCTCCCGGTAGATTTTGGTCATGAGCTTAATCTGGTCCTCCATCCGTGCAATCATCACATTAATCTCCTCCGTATTCTTCCTCAAGGTGCTCGCGTAGTTATCGTCTTGGAGCTTGAGAGCCTGTTCACCACAAAATGATCGAGTTCATAAATTTGGAAAAAAACAACAAAAAAAAAAACAAGAGAGCAGCAGATAACTGAATGGAGTTACCTGCAGAAGCTCATTTATGATGACTTTCTTATCATGTATAATAGTGGAATAAAGATGCTGCTGCTTCTTTAACGCTTTTTGCAGGTCTTCAGAGACCCCCTTCCGATTAATAAAGTTCTCAAATTGTCCTTTCTGTATTTCATCTAATTTTTCCTGGCTTGAGATTGCATCATTTTCCAGCATCACCAGTCTGATTGACGACAAAAACAAAAACACAATAATGGTTTGTGTGGTGATTTAACCTTGAGATACTGACTTAACCCACCTGCTGAATAAATGTAAAATAGTTACCTCTTTGCTTGAGCTTTGCCCCGCAGCCTCCTCTGCAGCACCATTTTGGCATCACATGCGATTTGAGTGTTTGTCACTAACGTGCTCAGATCTTTGTACAGAAGTTTTATCCTCTAAAAATAACAATGTTAGTGTTACATTAAGGCATGAAATGTTGTCTCTCAAAAATTCCAACCAAAACAAACTGAAAGATAATAAAGCAGGAAAAGTTTAGACAACAAACAGAAATAATAGTGTATTTAAGTGAGCACAGTGGAAGAACTGGCGAAAAAAAACATGCAAATCAAATATCAGACAGCAGCAATAATGTCACTGTAGGATACTTTTCAGATGCACTAATTAACATATTAAAAATTTCTTCTTCAAAGACTTATTATAGACAATGATGGCATACTTTGAAAAAGTAACTTCAATTGGATTACTAACTACTCCTTGAAAATGTAACTTAGTTAGATTACTCATTACCTGATTTACATTGAAAGTATTTTTTGTAGTTACTTTCAGCAGCTGCTAACAACAACACTCTGTCTCCTGTGAAAATTATATTGAGCTTTGCCAATACTTAATTGCAAGCTATTTTATAATAGTAACATCGACAATATATCTCCACTTATGCGGTCGAACTGAAGTGGCCATTGTCTAATGGTCACAACAGTACAAAAAAAAAAAAAAAACTTTCGTCATTTGTGCGTGTTTTTGTGTGTTTCTACTGTCTGGAAAACTATAAATAGGATTTTAGGATTTTTTGAAATAGCAACGTGTTAGATTACTCGTTACTGACAAAAGTGTTGAAATGTTCAACTCCAGGAAGTTTCCACAATGAGGCTGAAAACTGATCAGTGAGCAACAACACCATATGCCTTTCCAAGTTTTTTTTTTTTTTTTTTTTTTTTTACAAAAAAACATTTGTTTTTAGCACTAGTGAACTTTACTGTGAAAGTTGCAAAATAATTGCTGTTGCCAAATAGTGAGACACAGTTGCCAAATAGTGAGACATTGTTGTCAAAAAGTGAGACTCTGTTGCCAGGTAGTGAAATTCTGTTGCCAAGCAGTGAGATTCTGTTGCAGAATAAAGCATTTATGTGACCATAACGCCAAGCAAGTATGAAGTGTTAAAAATGACATCATACAGAAAACAAATGGTTTAAAAATGCAGACCTGTTCACTTTCTCTCTCCTGCTCCTCTCTTGTTTTACTTTCCTCTTTACCCTCCATCTTGAAGATTTTGCTGCAAGAAAATATGTTTTTTTGAAAAATGACCCAGTTCGACAGAACATGACCAATTTCGGGAATCAAAGCGAACAACTTCCGTTTTACGTGTTGAGTTTACCTGCTCGCTGCCTTACTGCCCAGCCACACAGGGAACCTCGCGCCTCTTCAGGGTTCACAGTAACTTCGTCCTTATTCACAACACGTCAAGTGAAATCTACTGAAAGCAGTTGTAGTAGAAACGAACAGCTCGTTTGTTTGCAAACTGTTTCTATGGCGACACAGAGCTACCAAAAACGGCGTCAAGTGCTGCGTTTAAAGGCCCTCGGAAATGTGCAAGAATGTAGATATCGCGAGTGCCAACCGGCTCTGTCTGCCTTATCAAACCTCGAACGCCTGAATTAGTGTGTGGAAACGATTTCACAGACCAGTTCACTGTCTTCTACCTGCTTTCAAAACCTGTTCCGACTCCGGCGGCATTGTTTAATGCTTTGAGACATGGGGAACGGGAATTTCGTCTTCAACAATTAATTGTTTATTTTCACTTATTTATTTTGTCTGTTGCCCTTTAAATCACCAAGACGACGAAGTACAACCCCAAAGACATCTATACTTTCGAAAACGTGAAAAATAAAAACTGTCGTGTTATATTTACGAGTTTTAAAGTAATATTTTTCTCCGGAAAGAAAAAAAAAAGAGGTAGACATGAAGATTCTTAATTATTATCTTGATAATTTTGAGCTGTAAGTCACTACTTGACTTTCAAAATCATAATATTCATTTCAAACAAGTGTTGGCTGTTCTGTTGCAAAAAATCTGGTGCTTTATATTCTCTTTTGGACTTAACTTTATAGATGCGCCACAACAGGAACAACAACAATAATAACTAATAATGTTAATACTGACATGTATAAAATATTACAACTTATTGTTTGATTTTTTTTAATATAGCTTTTTAAAAATATTTTTACATGTAAAGAAATGTAGAAATCAATTTCTATGTTCTATTGTTGTGTTGAACTATCACACAAAATCGAAACAAAAGTACATTGCAGCTTTTAACATGACAAAGAGTGACATTCAAGGGATATCAATACTTTTTCCAAAAGCTCTGCATCCCAGTCATTCTTTTTTTTATGCATAATAATGAATTGTGACCATCCTGGACCACATTTACAGCATATACACTTGCTGAAGTGCATTTGCTGGACTTCAGATGTCCAACAAATGCACATTAGTTGGACATTTATCAAAAGCATATTTTTTTTTATTTTAGTATTTTGTTGATTTCACTTCTTGGACTTGACACGCTCAGGCTTACAGCTGGCTCACTTTGTTCCCGGCTTCATGTGGGTTGAGACGGAGTTTCCTGTTTAGACAAAGCAGTTTTCCATCATCCAAAGATCACATGAGAGCTGGTGTAAATGTGCAACAGTAGAGGAATCCAATCCGACTTTTCATCCAACGCCATATCTCATATCATTACATCTCATATTTACTACCCATATTCTTACTTTGGTGATATTCCTCTTTGTCGTAGTTTCTCGAGGCTTTTGTGTAGAGTAACATTTTCCTGTTCTAGAATTTTGATGCGTATGTTATTTGATTGCTGCTGTTGCTCCATATCCAAAATCAGGTTTCCTGTACCTGGCAAATAAAAAAACAAAATCATCATATAATTCAAGATTGAAATTCGCCACTGCAGAAATGATGAGTTATATGTTAATTGTTAAATTCAGGTCCAGAAATACAGTGCCTCTGTGATATTTGTGTCATGAACATGTAAACACCTTCAGTTTATTAACCAACCCAGAAAATATTCAGAAAAGCAGAAATTATTTCTATTTTTTCAGTGGCATAAACTCACACACAAAAAACATCTGTTTTCAACCTGTTCTCCACTCTTTCATTTGAAGAGTAGTTATGACAAATAGGTCTCTGCGTCAAATAGTATTTTTTGCCCTACAGAAACAGAAATTTATCAAATACAGTTCCAAGACACTGATCACCTTGAAAAAAGTCAAATATACATAAAATATTACAGTCCATCTGGTGACATGGGTGGAAAAAAACTATAATCGTGGCCAAAAATAATATATTTTTTCATTCTCCTGTACCGCCATAGTCTTCCAGGTCCTTCTATCAGCTGCTCATGATGAAATGTACAGCTTCCCCGAGGTCAGCATATTGTTTGTGTTGAATCCCCTGCTTTATAAGCAGCCGAATTAAGTGTCTTGCTGGGAATTATTCCATGCCTATCAGCTGAAGAATATGATCAGAGTTCATTCCCAGATTGAAATAAAACAAAAAGAGATTGTATTTGTCCATTATTATCATTATTAATGTTAATGTTAATGTTATTATTAAGTCATGTCCACGAAGTAAACTAGTCGTTCCCACAAGTTAAACAAATCATGGCAGTGAGTTATTAAGTTGTGGCTATGACTCTCTTTTCCTCATTCTATGTCACCAGACAGGCTCTGTAAAAAATAGTCTTAGTTGCTTTTAATATAGTCAAATTACAGGTTGGATTTCTGTAGAAGATTTGGTTGGAGGTCTGTTACTTCAGTAAAAGAAGCCTTTTGTACTACAAAATATGTTGTGTGGAGGACTTTAAGTGCAGGTGGGAGTTTCCTACTTTGTGGTTGAGTATAAGCCCAGTTGTTGAGCTCTGGGAAAGCCACCAAGAGTCTCTCTCTCTCCCTCAATGCTTGCACGTGCTCCGTCAGTTCGGCTACATGCTTTTCCAACTCCTCTACATTCGTGTGTAGTGTTTGCTTCTCTTTTTGGAGCTTGCTACAGATGTCCTAGAGGAAGCAAGCAACTATGTAAGCATTTAGCATAAGTCTCTGACTTACAGAAATGGAAAGGCTCTCATCTACCTGCTGCAGAGAGACCTTAGTCTCCTGCTGCTCCTTCAAATCGATTATCTTTTTCAGCTGATTGTCCAAGTTGGTCTGTACCTCTTCTTTTTCATCCAACCGCCTCTGTAGTTCTTCACGCTCTTCATCAAGAGCATCGACTCTCTTTAATAAGGACCTCTGCTTGGCCTGCATTGACTAGATTAACAGCCATACAGCATTGACTCAACAGGTATTTAAATCTATTGATTTGAGTAATGAACAGCTGTGTTTTATCTGACCTCCTGTTGTCGGAAAACGCTCTGATACTTGGCCTTCTCCTTGTCAAGAAGAAGTTGCATGTCACAAAGCTGGACCTCGAGCTTCTGGATCATTTGCTTCAGTTCACAGCAGGTCTCATCCTCTCTTTGTAGTGTTTCCACTTTCTGTTGAAGTCCCTCTTTTTCACCCACTATTAGGAAATGGATGATAAGTGGTTCATTATGCAGAAATATCTTTTTTTTTTAAAAAAAGAATGGGTGAAAAGAAAGTCAGCATTTTTTCATTTTTTTTTTACCAAGTGTTTCCAACGTTTCTTGCTGGAGTTTTACTTTCTCCTTGAGTCTTGTATTGCTCACCTCCAAGGACAAAATTTCTATTAGAAACACATCAGAGAAAAATGTTTATATGGTCCCATTGTTTCACATCTAAACCACAATCATCAATATATATTGTCCCAGATTTCAAAAAACAAATACAACTGGTCATAAATGTGGAGTAGAAATGCACATTGATTTCTGAATCTCAGCTGAATTTAGGTCAGGACTTTGACTGGTCAATCTGATCACTCAATGTGCTCATCCACTGTAGCTCTCGCTGTACTTTTGTTGACCTGCTGTAAAGTAAACCTTCTCCCCAGTCACAACTCTTTTTCTAAGCTTTCCTCTGTAATTAGCTCCAAATAAATAATATTTTTACTACCTCTTTTGGATTGATTTTGTTCTTCTTGTAGCCTTTGCTGTCTTTCTTGTGAGGTCCTCTCTGCTTTCTGTAGTGAAGACTCCAGTCGGACTATGCAGACCTGGTGTTTTTCCGCCTCTTGCTGGAACTCCTTCTTCGCGCTTGCCAGCTGAGAACCCAACCTGTTTCGATCTGCTTCAGCTTTTGCGAGGGCTTCTCGAAGAGGCCTGACGGTATTCCGCACATCCTGAAGATGCTTCGCGAGGCAACGCATGTCCCTGAGTTGCTCTTGGGCCCACTGGGTGACATCACCCACCGTCATCTGTCCTGGACCCACCGTGTCTTTCATGGCACCTGAGAGACGCTTGAGAGACGAGGGTAGTCCCTCACTCTGGAAAAGGTCTATCAAAGCGTCTCCCGTGTTTCTCAGAAGGGACTGGACTCTATGACATGCATCACAGGGAATGAGGGATGTCGTCTGACAGGCAGCATTGTGGTGTTTGACTTTAGGATAGAATGGAGCATTGTGAATTAGACCTGAATGTTCGCTTTTCTGGGGTGAGGTCGACGAAAACGAAGCAGATGAGCAATTTCTGCAGAAGTGAGTGCTTGAGCTGGTTGGGGAAGACACGTATGACCCTGTCTTTGAGTAATCTAATGTCTTTGTTTTTGTCTGTTTTATGTCTTTGGAGTTCTCCTACAAAAAAACCCCAAAACAAACAAAAAATTGAAATGTGCTTAAATATTTACGTTGCGTCCAATCTGCAACGAAGTCAGGCTTACCTTCTTGTTCACACACTGAAGCAAAGCACCCCAATAGTTCCTAACCACAAGGCCCACTGAAAGGCACCCTTTTTGATGGATTTGGTCTGTTCCCTGTCTCCCCCTCTGCAGTTCACTATAAACACTGACACTTTGCAGAAGGAAGAGGAGTCTAGTCAAAGCAGAGGAGAAAGCTGCATGTTAAGAGAAGGCTTTGCACAATCATCTTGTTACACATTTATGTAAATTCCTTCCATATGTATTCATATCCATAGCATTTCCTCGCATTTGTTTCTTTACAGCCACAAATTTTAACACATTTCATTGGGATTGTGTGTCGCAGACCAACAGAAAGGAGTAGACAATTGAGAAATAGAAGAAACATTGCACAAAGTTTATTTCATAAACAAAACCAGTCTCTTCTGAACAAAATAAAAAATAAATAAAAAATTAGCAAACAATTCTTTTTGCTAAAAATTTTTTTCCTGAGCAAAATTCTTTAGCATTTGCTGCATTGCGACTGTAATCCAGCAAAAGGTGCTTCTGCAAAGTATTGGCCGGAAGAGTGGCTGCAGAGACAACATTTAAAACCCTGCACCACATAAAACCCAAATAAAATAAGCTTAAGCTTGTGGTTGAAACTTAAAGTTTGTCAAACATAAATAAATTACAGAATAAGAATAGTTTTACAGCTTTGTGTAATACCTGTCAACCACAAGCTCCAGTAAAACAACGTGCG